TCCACGTAAAAATTTTCTTGTGTTTTCTTGTGAATTGGGTGTCATTTTCAATATATTTGCTCAAGGTTTTGCTTCTCATAGATTTATTCAAGTAGGAAAGTATAGTGTTATTTCATTCTTTCTTTTCACCTTCTTAATGTTGTATTATTTCCTTTGCTCAAGGTTTGGTGGTTTTTAAAAGTTTTCACTAGTTGATTATCAAACAATAGCAAAGCCAAGAAAGGAACTGTCATCATCATTGTTAATCCGGCTACTCAACCGATAGCAGTTAAACTTGATGAAAATAATTTTCTTATGTGAGCAACATATATATCTTTTCTGCTCTAGAAATAATGGGTATTAAAGGATTCACCTATATATGGATCGTGAGTCGTCACTTTGCCCTCGTGAATATGTTACGAGTTCAAAAGCTTTAGATAAAGATCTTCAAGTACTGAAATGTAATTCAAACTTTGATATATAAAACGACAAGACAAACTGATTGTTCTATTAGGTTGACACAACCTGTCCCAATCCTCCTCTATCCCATAGGCTCCGGGTACACCCATGAGACACGAGTGACCGAGACATGCCATCTGAAAAATTGTAAAACCCATAAAAAGGAAATTTTTTTTTTCTTCTAAATATGCTTTTCATCAAAACATTCTATTGATTTATTGTGAAAAACATAACATATAATATATACATATTTGAAAATCTGAAAACATAGCACATTCATTTTATAAAACCTAAAGAGCGAGGTATCATATTTTCATATCTATTACAATCAATCACACGAAATAAACATATGAAATAAAACATAATCTGCTATGGAACAAATATGACATTTTACACACATGATGAGACAATGACATGTGGGCCCAACCTCGAGATGAATGACTCCTCTACACGATCTTCCTATGAACCTGGGGAAAAGTATTCTAAAAGGGGGTGAGATGAAATACTCAGTGAGTAGGGATGGGGTAAAACATTTTTCTGAAAAGCTTTTATACATACAATGATTCTTCATGCTTACTAAAAACACTTTCAAATAAACATGTTTGCAATTTTCTCAAACCCTTACATGTGAACTGGATACAACATGGTCAAAACTCTTCTCTAAAAACTTAAAATATAATTATAAATGCTCATGTTTCTAAAAACAGTGTTTTTTAAAAATCTTGCTGCAACCATCTTTGTCATATCTCAAAGAACACTTATGAATAATAACTCTAAAAGGTCGTGCTGCAAACATCCGAAACATCACAAACAATCACATATCTCTTAAAAGATATAATGCTCTATGAATGTCATGTACATAACAGAGACTTCGTACAATTGTGATTAATGCAATTAATCCATAGTTTTTCTGATACTAAAAACTAAATCTGATTATGATAATCCACAAAAAGAAATCATACTGCAAACATCCACATCATCACTCAATGAATGCTTATTTACTATTCCTAGAACAACATTTTTAAAAGATACAACCAATGTTTATGCTTGCAAATTAATACTCATGAATCTCAAATTTCTCATGTCTTTAAAACAACATTACTAAAATCATATTTCAAATGTCTGAATTAATCTCATAAAATTAGTATTAATAAATGATAACTATTTTGATGATATGAAACTGAAAATTGATTTGTAAAAACTATGCACTGATATATGATTTCTGAATATTGAAAACTTTATGCTAATAACTGAACTTTAAACTGAATACTGTAGATTTTACTAAAGTGGAAAAACTCTAAGTTGAATACTGCTTTACCATTAAATACTGAAAACTATTTTATGATTCTTAATTGAAAAATAGATTTCGATACTAATCACTGAAAACTCTCACCCCAACTAGTACCCAAGGGTAAATCTGTCCAACTCGGCAAGATCTAACATCGCGCAGGTTGAACCACTAAATCTATCCTGCTAGGCAGAATCAAACACCACTCAAGCCTTTGACCCAGCAAGATCATGCATCGCTCGGGCTGGCACACTCAAATCTTGCCAGGCAGAATCATACATCGCTTGGGCCTTCAACCCCCTCAGGCTGGCACAATCAAATCATGCCTGGCAAGATCCTACATTGTTCAGGCCTTCGACTCGCTCGACCAACAAATAACCACTCATACGCATATGCAGAGTCATCACATAATATGGGGGGATGGGTACTACGTAGGGTGGTTTGAAAATCACCTTTATCTCTACTTTCTCCATCCTCACTTTTCTCATAAAACTTATGCTTTTCTTCTTTATATAAGGCATGCTTAAAAATCATAGTACTTAATCCAACGTAAATGGACAAGCATGCAACTTCATAGAACTTAAAGCTTTTCTTTATAAAAGGCATACTTAAAAATCATAATACTTTATATAATGAAAATGGGTAAACATATAATTTCATAATGTTTCTCAAAAACCAACAATTTCGACACATGTTTCATTTCTCATTTCACCTACTTTTCATCCACATCAAAATTCATCTCCACCCAATGCAAACAACACTTCCCGCATTTAGTAATGTTATGCCTAGCAAAGTAGGGCTGACGCAGAGCCCTATCAGCGTAAGCGGTCAGAGCTTAGGTAAGTCCTACAACCATTCAGACGCAGCCACGTCGCACGTTGACGCAAGCGGCATGCTCCTGCCAGTGCAGTAGGTGTGCGCTAGGCTGGTGAAAGGCTGGTGAAAGGCTGGAGACGATCCATGTGTCCAATCCTTGCAAACGTCGAGTAAATCACTCAAGCAGGTAAACAACAGGATGCAAGGAAGGATTTGCACAGCAATCTGACCCACTCCCTGATTTAGTAATCATTACCTTAATTCATCCCACTATAAATAGAGGGTTCCTCTCCCGTTTGTGGGATTGACTAAATTCTCTCTAGAATAGCATATACATACTCTCTCTCTCTCTCTCTCTCTTGTAATCTCTTGTAAGTCAGCTCGTTGAACGTGACCTGACCTCATATTAATATGATACCAGTGGATGTAGGATTCGCTTACTTAAGCATCCGAACCACTTTAAGCACCGTTCTTCATTTTCTATTCAGTTCAATACCCTCGTACACGTGTGTCTTCTGAGTCAGCTCAACATTTCTTACGTGGGTTTAGTTGGTGTCAAAATCCCGCATCAACAAATAACAATAAAACTTTTTCTAATGTGAATTCATCAACATTTTTAAGGCAACATTTAATAAGTAGTCACATTAATTCAAATAGTCTCACAACATTTCTCAATGTATTTCCTTTCCTTACCAATTGCTTATAGATCATACATATATGACATAAAATTCGAAACTCACATCCAAGGGCGGAATTGCAAATTTCCAAACATGTTTCAAAACTGATAGTTAAGTCCCTTTTTAATTATTCACTTAAAACTCAAACAATATAATCTGGCATTTTTATTTCAAATAAGTCCACCAACTTAGTAAACCCTCCAATACAATTAACCCACTAATTCAATTAAGCCCATCAACTCCATTAAACCCACAAATTTTATTAACACAATTTGGGCCTCATTAACAATAGGCCAGCCCACTTGGACTCAATTACTTCCATGGAACCCCAAACACCAATTTAATTAAATCCAAAACCCAAGTCTTATATCCATCAATATCCATATATATATAAAATATGAGTAATATTATGTTAATAAATACTTCTCACTAACTTTCTCTTATAAACACGTGTCAGTTCACAATTGGTATGCTCGTATAGGTCTCACTTGCCTAATAATAGATCTCACCTGATCAAATACAAATTGCGCATTTGTGAAAAGTGTTTATGAGGCTATCTTTATTCATAAAATATATATACAATATATAACTAGGGCGAACACTGTTTACCCAAAATATACCATACACACACTAGCCAGAACTTTTTATTTTCTCCTTTCTTATTCTCCTTTTCCGCCACTTATTTTGGGCGAACATTGCTCACCCAAAGTATCACTTTGTCCTCTCTTTTTTGATATTACCTTTACTCTCTTCAAACTTTTGAATTCTTGCACTTTACCCTCAAAAATCACAAAATAAAAATGTAATAAAATACCCAAAGCAAAAATACAGGGTATTACAGAGCACTTGGAAGTTTCGAATCCTTTTGATCCAACAATGTCAGATTTCCCCATAGTCAACAAACATCACCTAAAACTGCCATCACCATTGTTAATCCAACTACTCAACCGATAGCGGTTAAACTTGACGACGATAATTTTCTTATGTGAGCAATATATCTTTTCTGCTTTAGAAGTTATGGGTATTGAAGGATTCACCTACGGATCGGCCCTTTGCCCTCCTGAATATGTTCCGAGTTCAAAAGCTTTAGGTAAAATCCTCAACTGAAACGTAATTCAAACTTTGATCTATGGAAACGACAAGACAAACTGATTGTTTCCTGGCTATATATATATTACGACAATTATAAATGCTATATATTATTTTTCCCCCTTACAGAAAGCGTTGCTATTCTGATTTAATACATGATTTTCTAGTGAAATTAGTTTTCTTTTTTCTTTTTTCTTATTATCTTTTAAAATATAAAATTATAAAAAATTTATCTATAATTTTTGATGTTATGAATTGTAATAAGAGAAGTATATTCAGAAAACATATTTTACAATTTTTTCACGCCTCAGTCACCCGAGCCCTATGAGTGCATCCAGAGTCTATGGGATAGAGAGGGTTTGGAATGGGTCTGTGTTATAATCTATCTAAAGTCTATGATGTTATTGGTTGTAATATGAATCATCAAGTACAAAATTAAAAATAATTAGCTTAAAATCATCAAGTACAAATACAAAATTTGTAGCCACCGACAGAAATAATGGTCAGCAAATTTCTGTAAGCGTTTATGAAGTGACCATGATAATTCAATTATGCTACCTACCTATCAACCACCCGATTTACTATACTCAATCTACAAAATAAAAATAAGATTTGAGGAAGAAGATGCATAGAAGAGAAAACATTCTGATCAGCTAACACATCTAATCAGAAAATATGGGATAATTTCGAGTTCAAAGATTCTGCAAACCAGAAACAAAGAAAGAACTGAAAATCTCCATTTCATGGCTGCTCAAAACCACACCAATTTCAATGCCATTTCCATCGCCACTCTCTCCCATAGCAATTGCTCCGGTTCTATCAATAGACACTATCTCTACTTTCTTCGGCCTTCCCCATCCGAAATCAACTCCGTGAACATTGAACCGGATCGACCCAGCCAAACCAATCGTTTGTTCTCCTGGTTCCCCGGTCATCAATTTTTCTAAACTCTTTTCAGCACCTTCAAAGAGCCCCTTCTCATCAATTTCTCTGATCATGTTACTGACTTTCTCAGCGATAATCGCAACCCCATTTTCCTCCAGGAAAGCGCTTGCTTTGACAATCGCTTGACGAGGGAAAACACAGTTGCCGAAATAATTTGAAGGGAGTGGAGGATTCAAACGGTTTCTATAATCCACTGGGAACAAAAATTTAACGTTTCTAATGCCTTCTCTAGCTTTTGCTTTCACGAGACAAACTAGAACATACGCATATGAAACCACAAAAGTTGATAATTGAAGCTCTTTTGTAGGTTTTACTTCTTCTAATTTGGACAAAATCTTTTCTTTGAGTTTCTTTATGTCTTCATGAGTCAGCTTGAACGTTGCCCGAAGTGAATTCCGATTTACTCCTAAATCTCCCAACACCTTCAAGCTTAGCTGGTTGACTTCCGAGATATCGGACCCCGTGTAATCTGCCCAGTTCTTCAAGTACACCATGTAGAGTCCAGCCGGATCTTCGATATCCGTCCGATCAAAGGACGGAGTAAGTTCTGACAACAAAGAAGGGTCTTGTTTGTCTAGTTGTGTGCATAGATAAGCCCAGGATTTCATAAACGTGGTCGCAACTCTGCCGTCCATAACCGCATGGTGCGTAGTGATGCCAATGCAAAAGCCCTGATTCGGAAACAAGGTTATCTGCAGAGTCATGCTTGATGCTCTCTCATCAGATGAAAACAACTCAGGTATTAAATGACGTAACTCGGAAGACTCAAGAACATCACCGTTGGAGAGACGGTTAAAGTCTGCGTCGGTCTCCGCGACGATGAGAGAAACGTCATCGTCAGCTGAGTAGGAAATGATAGGCTTTGAGGCATGTGGAGGCCATGTGAGTTTGCCTGCAAGAGGAAGATAGTGAAGAAGTGCGAGAGAGAGTGAATGTTTGAGTTTGGGAAGGATGACTGAGTTGAAGTGAAGAAAGGTTAAATGAGTGAGTTTGTAAAAGAAGAGACGTTCCACAGGAGGAAATTTTAACCAGGATGTGTCAAAGAAAGTGAGAGGAAGAGATAAGTGGGTAGCGGAGTGGGGTGAGTTGGGAAATGGAGCAACTCGGGTAGTCTCAAAGATCTTAAGTGGGTTATGTGAAGCCATGGCGAGGGTGAGAGAGAATGAAGAGAGACTTAAACATAATATAAAGATGAAATTATAGATGGTTCACTTTAATGCGAGTTAACCAATTACAAACTAGCAGAGAAAATTGTGAAAAGCAATTGTCAATTTATGTTTATTTATAACATATAGTAGTAGTTGTGCAGTGGATTGGTTGGTTTGAAATGTCGCTCCAGACTCAATTATACAATCTTTTTTATGACCATGTGCTTCACGACAACATTAGGCTTAGTGGTAAATTTTATTTTTTTTTTATCAGTATTCGTCCTTAAATATCCTAAGTAAATATTTATGTTATTATTTATGTCAAAATTTTATTATGTTATTATTTTTAAAACTTTCATACTTGAAATACAATACGTTAAGATTTCTTTCTCTCTCTCTCTCTCCTTTTTTTTTTCTTTTTTCTTTTTCTTTTTACTTTGACAGCAAATATTTATAAATTCTCAATATTTTTCAAATAGATTACTATCACAAATAATTATTGACGTTTAAACAAACTGTATTTTTCAGGAGGTGAATGTTAATTTGAGTTGAAGTGAAGAAGGGTTGAGTTAGTGAGTTGATAAAAATAGACATGTCCACTGTAGGAAAATTGAATCAGAATGTGTCATAGAAAGTGAGAGGAAGAGATAACTCGGTAGCTGAGAGGGGTGAGTTGGGAAATGGGGCAACTCGGTAAATCTCAAGGATCTTGACTGAGTTATCTGAAGCCATGGTTAGACAGAATTAAGAGATTATTCTTTAGATCATCGATATATATATATAAAGAAGAATGATGCTTAAATCAAAATTGTTGAAGTGAAAATAAACCATTAAACTGTAAGAGTGATTTAAATTAGTTTAATTAAATTCTTAATTTATTTTATGACTGTAAATGTCAGTATTCTTCTTAAGGCCACACATTTATGATTTATAATATATTTCGGAAAAATAAGCGATTGAAGGTAAAAAAAAAAAATCAAATAAGTGTATGCACAAGGGCATACATATTCAATAATTAGAAAATTATATATTTCTGTTAAAGTAGATGCCCTAGAGCCAATCAATTATTGTAGAATTGACTCTTTGTAATAATGTTCATTATCAAATAAAAGACATTTTATTCTATATCGGTAAATCATTATTATTGCAATATGTATTGATATATATCCTTAGAATGGTAGAACTATGACGAGGGTATCAAGTGTTTCAAATCTTGATAGTGAGAACCCTATGAGCACTATGGTGGTCATTCTAGAAAGTCCGTAGCCCCAGTATTTATCTGAAGTAAGGGCACAAGATAATACGGTAAGGCTATCATAGTTTGAACGACTTTGTCGAAAGGCGAGTGACTGATCTCACTTGTCAAGGTGTTTGGTGATAATTTGGTTTGCAACACATGGGTTGCTTGCTGTAGGTGGATATACCGAACAAGTCTTCACTGGACTGACCCACCAGAGGATTCCATATGGATGGTAACCGCAGTGTCTATGGAACAAATCCTCTAACGAATGGTGGTGCATGTGATCCTTAGACTTGAGATCACCGGAGCGTCTTGTGCACCGATTGGTGCAGTTTGACACTAGCCTAACGCAGTTATATTCAGAGCTGTCAATATGGTGGTGATTGGCTACATTAAGGAGTATATCAAGACTATGGTAGATTGACAGATGATTCATCACTCCCGGGTATGGGAGAAGTTATCTCATGGCGCAATTCAGTATATGGCAATGACACTAAAACTATGGTCACAGTGGGATTGAGTTGTTACTCTATCCAGATTATAATACAGGTCATTGATCTAGAAACTGAATACATAATATCGAGAGTAACCAGAGGTTGACACTATTTCTATGCTTTCGTCTCGTCAAGATAACGCATGATAAAAGGATCGAATTGTACGGTAACCATATCGTTGACAAGTAGCTACTTTGCTGAATCCAAATCTATCGAGTGGCCATGATGCCTTGCTAGGGGTCAATCTTGATCTACGTATTAGTGAGACGATTAATTAGTGTTAATCGCAATACTATACACTGTCGATATGATGAGGAGCCTATGAGTCACACACATAGAAGATAATTTAAGAGCCAAGAAGAAAGAAGGGCGTTTTCGTCTTTTTGGATGAAAGGGTATTTTGGTAATTTCACAATGCAATTAAATTTACTGAGGTCGTAGACTTTATTTAATTTGTTAGAAAAATTAAATAAGTGAAATTACGTTTGAATATGTGTTCGCACATATTTAATTAAATCATCATTATTATTAAATGTTAATTAAATATTAATTGATTTTAATTGAGATAATGATGAAATAAATAAAATATCTAATTGGAAGTGTTTGGCAACATGGGGTGTTTGGGTTGGAGCCCAAGCACATTCCATGTGAGAATAGGGCAACTTAGTTTGCCTATAAAAGAGAATGTGTGTGAAATTAAATGTGTGATTTTATTAGTTCATTTGATTAAAAGAAAAACATACAACACGAAACACTCTCTCCCACGCCACTTTCACTGTTTGATTGAAAAATCAAATATTTCTTTTTCTTCTTGATTTCTTAAGACCAAGAAGGATCTAGCAAATACTTCCTTGGTTCCTGGTGATTGTCTTCGTGTGGGCTTCTTGGTTCGATCCTACACTTGGATCGTAGCAAACACGTTCAGAGACAATATTGGTGGAGCCTCCAATGTGGGTATGAATCTAAACTTTAGATTTATTTTTCTGTAGATTCTTGATGTAAAACATAAACTATAATTTCTGTGCCCTGATTTTGGGTTTTAAGGAACGATCCATGGTTGTAAAAATTTTTGTTTTCTGCTGCGCAACCAGATCGTTTCCTGACATTTTCCACCAACTTGGAGTTCTTTCTTTCTTTCTTCACATATTATGAAATTTATTGGAAAATTTTAAAGTAAATTTAATTGTCAATATTTGCTATTAATTAAAGAAGACCTATTAACATTACATGTGATATAATTTTTCAAAAATTTTGTCTTTCTCAATTTTGTTTCTTGAGATCTCTTTTGATTAGTGGGGGCCAGCTTACAACTTATGTGGACTTCAATTAATTCATCGGGGCCCTGAAACTATCGATTAGATAAGAGCTTCAGTGGCTATCTCTATTAGCAACCGAGAAGGGACTCGAACTTAGGATCTCTTGAGTAGTACACTCAAAAGTCCCTATCGAACCATTCGACTACCCAGAGATAGTTAATAATTCGGAAAATCTCTTTTGAGTAAAGTAATTAATTGTTAGATTGCATGGATTGACTAAACCCACTTTTCTTTTATTCTTGAAACTCATAATTTCCTCCTCAATTTGTTGAAGCGCGGATAGAGTGTTGTTATCTTTTATTGGTATGCCTTTGCTTTCGATCTATTATTGATTGAAGATTGAGTTATTGTTGAATGCTTGAGGGCTTTCAACTGTTTCCACTTCTCACGTTTGTGACGAATTCCTACTTATCGGATCTGTCTGTTTTGATAATTTTATGTTAATTAACCTAGTTCTTCAAATTAATTATGAGGAAGGCCTTGAATTATATTTTGGAAAACATTTTCTAGGGAACAAGTTTTTATTTATATATTTTTATGATCAAGGGTGTCTGGGTCAGTTTGTGTGTATTTCAACTAATCTCTCAGGATCCTAAAACTACTGACCGAGTAAGAGCTCCAATAACTACTTCTATTAACAGTCGAGATGAATCGAACTCAAGACCTCTTGAGTAATACACCCAAAAGTCAACCACCCAATGGTTGTTTTCTAAGGAATAAGTTCATCTATCATGCTATTAATTTTAAGCGATTTTTGAGTAAGAGAAAAATAAAATATAAGACTTAATAAATTGGCATGAATTAAAGGATAATATTTCGATAAAAATACAATCAATATTATATAAGGGTGTTCAAAAGAACCGGTTGGAACCAGAACCGACGGGTACCCTGGGTTTGGTTCTGGTTCCTACCCAAAACTAATCATCAATGGAAAGGTTCCGATTCCAAATTTTTGGAACCGTTACTGTGCAGTTCCGATTCCTATAGTTAGGAACTGAAACCGGAACTGAAACTGGAATCAGAACCAGGAACCAGGAACCGAGACTAATATAAAATAAAATTAAATATTAGGGGGGTTAATAAAAACTTTTGTAGAAAAAGTAATGTGAATATATTTATATTTATATTTCATAACATTTAAAGTAAGTTGGTTTGACTTTTGAGAATCTACCTTTACAAAGTAATGGAGTTTGTAATTTTGAATTTATAATTTNGAAATAATAAAGACACATCCCAATCTCATGCCAATACGGTTTCCTCAGGTACTTCTTACCCTTTATCTCATTATCTTTCCTACTCACATTTTTCTTCACAACATCGTTGTTTTCTTGCGGCCATCTCAAACAATGATGAGCCAACATCTTATACACAGGCAATTAAAGATACTCGGTGGCAAGAAGCAATGAAGAATGAGTTAGAGGCACTTGAACAAAACAACACTTGGACCCTTGAGGAATTACCTCCTGGCAAGAGAGCAATTGGATGCAAGTGGGTGTACCGAATTAAATACAAGTTTGATGGGACCATAGAACAATACAAGGCACGCCTTGTAGCCAAAGGGTACACTCAAGTGGAGGGATTGGATTATACTGAAACGTTTGCACCTGTTGCTAAACTCACCACTATTCGTACCTTGCTAGCAGTTATTCGTACCTTGCTAGCAATTGCAACAATCAAACATTGGACTTTACATCAGATAGATGTTCATAATGCCTTTATCCATGGGGATCTTGTGGAGGAAGTCTACATGCAACCTCCACCGGGTTATTTATCCAATAATGATTCACGGGTATGGGCTAAAACAAGCCTCTCGGCAATGGTTTGCAAAATTTTTCACTACTATTCTTCGATATGGATTCACTCAATCCAAAGCTAATAGCTCATTATTCACATACCGCCAAGGAAAAATTTTCCTTATGGTTCTTGTTTATGTTGATGATGTGGTCA